CTCTCTCTCTCTCTCTCTCTCTCTCTCTCTCTCTACCATTACCTCCATCTTCTTCTCATTCTTGCGTCAAACAGAACAGTAACTCGTCACTGTATCGACTACGTATGATATGATGATAAAAGATATCAACAGCAGCAGAAGCATTGCCTCTCCAGCCCTTCTTTGACCGGTCTTCTCTCCTCCCTCTTTGAAGACCGTGTTGACGTCGCCATGGCCATCATCAGTGTCTACCCTTGTGCTCGACGAGCGCCCACGCCCTCCCGTTTCCCCATGGAGCATTCATCAAAGCTCATTAAATACCCGTCCCAGCCTACGTGTGCGTCGTCGTCTCCACTCGAGTCGTTCAAACTTCAAAGAGAAAGATGATACCGATGTTCTTCGTGGTGCACGAACCCTCATGTGAGTCTTTGTGCTTAGTTCCACCTTGTCTCCAAATATAATAGTAATAACGTGAATGTGAAGGCACTCGTGTGACATGCACCTGCCTTCTCCGTCGCACATACTACCGCACAGCTATATAATAGCCATCTACGAGTTCATGTCTTCTTCCCCATCTCTTCAAGCCAACTTGTAGAGTTATTTTTGTTTTCTTAGCCAATCTTCCCTCTCCCTCCCTTCACAATCTGTCTTGCTTCACTCTGCTCCCTCTGCAGCGCTGTCCCCGTGGTAGGTAGGCTTTCGAGTTGAGGCAGTACATGTAAAATGGCATCTTCTTTATCTTCTTTCTTTGCAGGCCTAGCTTTAGGTTTGGAGAATGGAGGACAAGGATCTCGGTCACTTTCTATGGCTTACCTGTGATAACGATTTGGTAAGGAGAAGAGAAAGGATATACTAATACTCTTCAGTTCTGCTTCTCATGTTCCTTCTTTTACTTGCAGGATACCTATTCCAAGTCCGTTGTAATGGGAGGACTCGTCGTTGTTTCTGTGATCACCAGCATCCACTTGCTTGGCTACACCAGACATGGATGCAATATTTCGTGTTACTAGTCTCGAAATGGTGCTATCTGTACTGAGCTTTTCACCTCTTTGCATGTTGTTCTCTTTTTCATGTTGTTATCTCTTCCCTTGCAAGTCTTCTTGACCTTGTAAGACCTTTTCTTGACCTTGTAAGGCCTCATTCCTCGATCTCCACCCTCGTCCCCGACGGTCTTTGGTTCCCTCTCTTCTCGCTTCCCACTTGCCCTCCTCTCCCGTCTATCCCTCTTGAGCAGTTTACGTGTGACTGTGCTCGTGGTTGCAATGTTGTTTCGCCTGCCTCTTTCGTCTCACATGTTGATGATGATGGATGATTGACCGCTCGAGTCTGTCGCAACGTATGAAAAGTCTTGGAACATCATCTGCACTCTTTTTTGTGTGGTAGCTTTCACTGTTCCAACTGGCAAATGTATGTACGTATGTATGTATCTCTTTGGGTTTAAGTTCTTTTGGTGTGTTCTAAAATGGTGCTGGAGCCTGTAAGAAAACAAAGATAAACTCCATAAAATTTGATGTCGATGAGCTCTCATGGGCTTGCATGCAGTCACTGAATTTGATGCCGAGATCGCTCTCAATCTCGAGCGATCCACCTCGGTTTCTGCGACACGCGAGGATATCACAAAGCAAGCCATGGGTTTTAGCAGCGCCGAGATTGGCAGCATGCAGGAAAAAGAAGTAGCAGGGTTTGTCATCTCAGATGACAAGATGGTGAGATAGCAGACCCATCGAGGATGATGACGGTGACGATGATGGCTCAGAATCCATGGGAGTAACATCTGATCAAGGAAAGCTTTCATAGGATGACGATGATGCCTTTGGCACACATTCATCATGAGGTCACCATCATAGATGAGGACTTCTCTGCTGAAGGACGAAGGCGTCGTTTCATGTATTTGGATTCCTCGAGCATCCAATGTTGCGCTCTTCCTGTTTGCTTTACACTTCTAGATGACAACAGTTATGCCTATAATAATAACAATAATTCCTAATATTCTAATTATTTGGTGTAGATTTATTTTTACTATCCTTTTGTTGGTCACACACTATGGCTGCAATTAATTAATTAATCATGCAACGTTTTTCCAACTCTTTTCAATTTAATTGGGATTTTATAAGTCAATTTTGTAAGGAATATGTTGGGAAAGTGATATTATTCTACGTGTCTCTATCATAATCTTTTATCAAAATTATATTACAATCCTATGAAATAGTAGATAAAAAGTAATTCGGATCCTCCAAGAGAACAAACTTTCCTTTGAAACAGAGGCTAGAAATATAGCCCAAATCAACCTATTTATAAAGCTTCTTTAATTATTAATAATTGATATGAATATTATTTTGAGTGAGATTCGAGAAATGCGATCTTATCAATGCATGCTAAATATGTTATGTCAATTATAAAACATAATGAAAAAAATCCTATACAACATCAAAAATGATATATTCTTTCATTAAACTAAAGATTACACGAATAACACTATGTAAAATAGTCTTCTGATGCAAGTTTTAGATGTTTATGAATATGTATTAGCTTAGGCTTTACTAGGCATACTCTCGACGTAATATTTTACGTATAGAATAAATTTTTCTCTCGTCAAGTTCTGAATGTTGTTTAATGAGCCGTCTCTTCTAGACGTGATAATACTTAAAACACAAGTTAGGTCAAATCAATTTTACCAAGTCAAAATAATTATTAAATAATTGTATTGATAATAATAATATTAAATTTAATTATCAACCCAAGCTAGATTTTGGCTTTATGGTTTGAAATCGAGTGGGTGGATATGAAATATGAAGATCTTGCAAATCTAGTATAATGCACACATATTAGAAGTAGTTGGAGATATGGCTAGAGATTCATCCTATATGGAGAGAGGAGGTCCCTATATATATATGTAAATAATTTGTAAGTGTTACAAATCATAATCCGAATTCATCTCGTAAACTAAACAATTGGAATGCGAATTGGGGAATTCTAAACCTAGTATAAAGTGGTCAAAAGTTGCATCTATGTAATCGTAGGAGTACATGGGAAATCTATCGACTTGTCACCCACCCCAACATTACATGCGATCGATGATTGAGGGGATCAGATCATGGCACTAAGTGGGCCGACGTGGCTAAACGGGGAATTAAGCACGAGGGAATACGACTCCGCGGTTGACCACCATGTGCGCAAAAGACCCTACTTTGACCGACGCCGACGGGCCCCGCGGCGTTGACGCACGTCAGCGACCGCGGGCGACCGGCTTGTGCGCGTCGGTGGTCCTCCTCGCGACCTGAAGCGCGGGTGCAGAAGTGGGTGCGTGCGCCAAAGGTACCCACGAACGGGACTGCTGAATTATATTCAGGTTTTTTTTTTATGCAATTAAGGAAAACAAATAACCAAATAATATTCTGATTTTATAGGTAAATAATTAATCTAGCGGTATAAATATTTCTTGAGATTGACGAGTATTCTAAGATTACTGAAGTTAATATCCCATAAAGACAAAAGATTTTAGCAAAAATAGAATCCTCATAAAAGAATAAAATATCAAAATTAGATTTTGGTTCTTTTATATTTAATGAGGATAAAAAATCTTAGTAAAAAAAAAGTCCTCGTAAAAGAATAAAATATCAAAATTAGATTTGGTTCTTTTATATCCCGTGAAGACAAAAAATTTTAGTAAAAAAAGAGTCCTTGTAAAAGAATAAAATATCAAAATTAGATTTAGTTCTTTTATAAGTCACATGTATTCTTATATTTTAGTGGGAGGAGAGTAAAATATGAAGAATATTTTGATTGACTATCCTCTATAAAAATGACGAGAGAAAAATATAAATTGTTTAAGATATATATGATAGTATAAACAAGGAGATTTTTATTTAACTGAAATATATTCGTAGATGTAAATGAGAATTATCGAACCATGTTAATATTATGTCGATTTTCTAGTATGTTATTTATTTATTGATATATGATATTTTCTTGTGAATAAATAATTTTAATAAAAATATAAAAAATATGAATTATCATTAATCAGTTTATGAAGGAGGTATTAAAAATAAATTTTCACTATTGGAGAAGTGAAAAGGGGAATTTCTCACATCAAATATATATTTGTAAGAGAGAGAGAAAAAAAAAAAGAGTTCCCACGTAATGGTTAAGATATCATCTTGCGTGGGTCATCTCTTCCATTGATGCAAGCATCGATAAAGGTGCTGTTTCGAGATGTGTTTATGGTTAGAGCACTATAGGTGTTTCCCAAAGAATAAAAAGTACATGAATGTATGATGACACAGTTCTAAGTTGTAAGGAAGAAGGAATGGTTGGAAATGCACACATAAGTGGCCAACTATAATGAGACAGTGAAACAAATGGGACCTCCACTAGTGGAATTCAACATCTATCTATCACTCTAATCCACCACCTTATAGGAGATATTATATTATGTGTTGATGTAATCACATAGAGGTTAAGGATAATTTTATTTTATTTTTGTAAGTGAACTTCATGTCATGTTAAACCCAAAGAATGAGAATTCTAATTTTATTATTTTTCTCAAGCAAAAATAATATGTAATCTAATCCTCCTTTTTCTTCACAGTTGTAAGTCTTTTAAGGTTATCATGTGGTTTGGCTTCACAGTACAGACTCTTTTTCTTCTCCTTTCCTCCTCTTTCTAAAGCTGTTGCTGCAGCCATATGTCTTCCGCACTCCACAGGTCGTCTCCCCACACGCTGTGGTCGAAGTCAGGCAACCCCAGGTCAGTGTCGCCGGACTCCGACCACCATCCGGGGAGTTCACCCTCGCCACTCTGCGTGGCGGCCGCGGCGGCGGCTGGGAAGGTGTCGAAGACCGGAGGCGCCGGTGGGAACTCTGCTCCGAACGACGAACTGGGGGTGCTCGACTCCTCTGGGCTCGGCTTCATCACCAGCTCGACTTCCGCGACCGGGCCCGCCGGAGCCGTGGTCGAGACGCCGGAGGCCGCCCGGATCCGCTCCACGAGGCGAGGCATCCACACGTATGTCATGGCGTCCTTGAATTGCTTGCTGTTGACGTCGCACCGGAGCTGCTTCGCGTGCTTCTGCACCCTCGTCCGCCAGTAGTTCTTGATCTCGTTGTCGGTCCTCCCGGGCAAGTACTGCGCGATCTTGGACCACCTGCGACGGATCACTCTTCATCATTCATCGTCGGCAAAGCTCGTCGCGCCAAGGAGGGGATTTATACATGGTGAGACTGGCTTACCGGTTTCCCCAGCGAGTGTGGAGTTGCAGGATGAGGAGCTGCTCCTCCGGGGTGATGTTGCCCCGCCGGACGTCGGGACGAAGATAGTTGAGCCATCGAAGCCGGCAGCTCTTCCCTGTTCTTCTCAGCCCTGAACAGCAATTTGCAGCGAGGGAGAGAGAGTTAGATCTGTCGCCATCATCAGGAACAGTCTCAGAGATGTTCATAGCGGATGAGCTACGTACCCGAGCAACGGGCGAGAGAATTCCATCGCCCCTCGCCATGAGCCGCCACATAGTTCATCAGAACGAGGTCTTCCTCCGCGGTCCACGGCCCCCTTCTCAGGTCCACCTCCTCCTCGCTCTGGGCCATGAAGGAGCCGCAAGTCCTGCCATGGAACTCCATCGATTCCTCCAACTTCCTGTGACTGTTCTTCCGTGAAGCACACAAGAGAAGGGAAGAGAGAGTTGGATGTGTACATGACCACTTTTGGTAGCAGACTCGAGCTTTATATAGAGGGATGGAGTGGAAGAGATATGGATTGGCTTAAGCTCTTTAAAGCCTAAAGTGGTGGCTTTTCATCATCATCCGTCATCCAACAGCGTACACGACCTTTGAACTTTGACTTCTCAGCCTTTCCTCTCCGTTTCTTTTCCATGTGGCTATTGCCTCCTTGGACTTCCATGGCTCTCAAGTGGGTAACTCTGCAACACTGCTGTGACTTCATATGGCAAGTTGGATTCTCTCCGGAAAGAGTACTGTCTTGACATGGACTGCAGTAGACGAAGCAGGTCGTCTTTGGCCATGCCTAAATGATTTGGTACTTGGGATGGAGGTTGCATGAATGATATATACCTAAAATACTATGATCTGTGTATTAATGGCTTGTTTAACAGGTTTGTATTAGTTTAAGTAGCAAGTGGAGATGACATGAGAAGAGGGAAGGAGAAGAAGGAAGCACTGAGGTGGAGCCACTTTGTTACCAACAAAGGGTTTAGAGGCTGTATGTACTTGACAGCATTTGCTTGTGTGATTTCATCTGAATGATTCATAAAGCTAGAAAAGAATTTACTTTATATTTGATTTAAATGTCCCTTCTTATGTGAAGTCAAATTATAGAGTCATTATTCAAATTCATAATTTGATATCATAATAAATATTTAGAATTATATGATCATCAGTTCAAAAATCAAAAGAAAGGATCTAATCATTTTAGTTCTCGGTTTACTTACCGCCACTCGAAAAAAATAAAATAGTATTAATGTTAATGATCCAATGATTTGATCATAAAGAAACAATCTTACGGTGACACCGATAAGAATTTCCAAGATTAAATAGAATTACTATGATCAAAGATGAACCAAATCAAGGTTTTATGGCTTGATATCTATCTACCATTATGCTCTCAGTTTTTGGTGTCAATACAGCATTCTGCACAAAAATCAAGGAAACCTTCTCTTCTCCTAATTTATAGCTAAACTAAACTACTGGAAGTTCTCTTTCTCATGATAAATTACACACAATAATCACCTCACCACCACTAACTCTTAACAATGAAGAATGTCATATATTTCATTTCACTAGAAAGTCTTCAGATCATCATGCAAATAGACCATTTCATGACACATGACAAGAAGTTTTCTGGTCACTCCTTCTCAGAAAACTTGGCTGGATGTGGCGACAGAAACACCAGCTAAATCCAAGACCACAACTGTAAGATCAACCCCATATATGTCTTGTACTCCTTGTCTGATGCTTTCTCCTATGTGTCTCACTCTGTGAAGGGAACCAGTGGCCAGAAAGCCAGACAAGAAATCAAAAAACCAGTGACCTCATGTTTTGATGAGGGTGAGTAGGCCAAAGGGGATGTTTTGAGTGACTTTTCTTTATTTACTAAACTATCATCCTTATGTTGATGGAAGTTCTTTAGTTCTCCATTGATATTTTGACCTTCATTCAAATACATGTAGTATTATAGTAATGGTGGTTCCTACTTAGACCTAACTTGCCAAAGACAAGGATGATTAGAATCTTAACCTGATAATTATGAGGATAACACGTTAGGATGATCCAAAGTTAATTTCCTCAAGATGTTTAAATCAATATCACGAGGTATTTAGTTTAGTTTTGAGGCACACTTTAATATAATTAGATAAGAGATGTATTTAGGGGCTCTTTTTATAATAGTTTGAATACTCATTAAATTGAAGTGAAAAGTTAATTTATAAAATCTTGACCTATCATTCCATTACGAAGATGATGTACGCCAATCTATCAAGCGTTACGATTATGACACAATGACTCTGTTAATGTCAAGAGCTTTTGATCGATATGTTTGTGTTAGAATGGATAATTATCTTTGTCGACGTTGACTCGAAATCAAATTTATAGTGATGTATCGTCAGTTTATCCATGTGTCATTTTCTCTCATCATTATCTTTCTGGATTAGAAATGGCTACAAAGAGCTTGGAAAAAGAACATGAAGAATGACTTTGCATGCTTCATGTGGACCACTAATTTTTGCCCTTCTCTCTTCAACATTGTATGTAACATAGCATGCCAAACTCAATTGCAACTGTGATATGAAAGCTTTAATTGCCTAACAAATCTTGAGAATGACATATCAAGCTTCAGCTGCATATTCCACTTGGGAATAGTATTGGACTACAAAGAAACAAAAGAATACAATGAAAATACAAAACCAGCCTCCCAACCATTGGATCTCCCATCCAATGGTCATGGCCTGCCCTCAATCAACAGATAATTTTAGAGTGTGTGGTGGAGCTCACTGTATCACATTCTTCAACCCTTCGACTTCCTTGTCTCTCTCTCTCTCTTTCCCCCCTTCCCAATACAACAGCAACCCCCTGAAACTTGAACATATGGACTAAGGTTCAATCCTCAACACTTATAAACAGAATAAGAGAGAGAGAGAGAGAGAGAGAGAGGAAGAGTCCACAATACTTATAATCATAAACAACTCAATAATTAAGAGAGATAGATAGATAGATAGAGAGTTCTTTAATGAAGCGTGTTCTTGCACCACTAGGCAAGGTTTATAGCAGCTCACTAGTTTAGTGACATGATCGTAGAATGAGTAACAGGTGTTGAGCCCTTTCTACCTTCCCCTTCCTCCTCGTGTTTGTTAATGGAGGAGAGAGAGAGAGAGAGAGAGAGAAATTTCAAGGTGATGGAGTTGCAGCCATCCCTATCACACACCACCACACGCACTTTACTCTAGCCACCCTATTACTCGCCGAAATCCTTCATCATGTCTTCATCATCACCTCCCTCGAACCAATCAGGTGGCTCCGTGTGTCGATTTAAGGGAGACGGCCGATGGTGAGGATGACGAGAGCTGCATGAGAACGACACCCAACCAAGCCCTTCACACCTGACAGTCAGCAGGCTCGAGTTGGCAAGATATGATTCAGATGACTAAATTTCTTGTGATTAGGTCCTCCTTTTCCCTCATAGCCACCACCACCGCCATCGCAGGTCTCCCGAGTACCGAGTCTATACGCGTATTCCTCTTTTGTCATCCAAAGAAGGCGAGTTCACATCCGCGTGTTGCAACCACGATGATGACGACGACGACTAAGTGGCTGATCGAGTGGGGAATCCACAGGCGTTGCATGCTCAGAGGAGCTGCCGAGCCATGTATCACGAACATGCAGTGCCATGGTACCTACCATGTGCTGATTTGTACGAAGGTTCAGCGATGCTTCTTGCACCCCTGAGGTCAACCCATCACGACCTCAGCAGCAGTGTTTAAGGGTCAATCCATGTCTCAGGTCAATGAGGTGTGCTGTGGGGCTTATCCTTGAGAGAGTCATCAAAAGATATGAAGCACCTTTCCTTGCGATCGTGTTCACTTTGCAGCACTCACCAAAGATGGCCGACACAGGTGGATGATGTAGCGTGGGATGCGTACGTCTCATTGGGGAAGAAGCCTTTAAACCCCAAGTACAAGAGGAGAAAGGCGCTTTGCTCCTGTTCCAAAAGGGTCAACAGTATGAGAGGACGAGAGATGGAGAAGGAGGAGGCGGAGGCGGGGAAAAGAAATGTACCAGGTTGACTTGCAGAAAGGTGCAGAAAAAAGGTACTGATTTGGTCGTCCCTCAGCTCTCTACTCTCCGTGTTGCTGTTGTCAATTCTGCAGCCTATGCAGCCTCGCTTTCATACGAAAGGAAGAGGAATAGAGATCACCAGTTTTCATGCAAACACAGCAGGTTTTTGGTGGCCGTCTGAAGTGCTCGAGCCATGGAGGTGATGTGTAGATATGAAGACCTTTTTCTCTTTTGGATATATAGGCTTCAAACGATTTGCTTTCGTAGAGGACATGTGGTGCGATGCTATTGGAGAACATGCACCTTTCAAGTTCATTATGGTAGGTCATAGAAAAAAAGGTCAAAATATCTCTAAAAAGTCAACAATAGTAGGGGAGACAAATGAATGCCCTAGAAAAAGGGACCATATCAAACGACAGAAGATACCATTGCATTGGCAAATGAAGATAGCAGAAGATGTGATGCCTTTCTTTTGTTATTATCGTACGAACCGATTCCTCCACAAAAAAAGAAAAGAAAAACAATATAGTTCTCTTAATTGATTTAATCATAATGCTGTTCGATGCTCTAATGATAATTTTGCATAATGGTTTTAACAATCGGATCCGATAAGAGAGTTAATCTAATAATCTATTAATTTTTTTTATTATTAATAAAAATACTTTAAGTTCGAGATAATAATAATCATCATCATCCATCATCTCAGCGGACAAGCAGAGACAGAGACGAGACCGATAATATGGGGTTTTGGGCCTTTAACGGGTGGCACAAAAGAGCCGTTAATTATCTGTGGGAGAAGCCCGATACCAGCCTGGCTCGGCCCAAATTAGCGTTCAGCGATAGGCCCATCATGCTTCAAGAATCGTGCAAACATCGAATTGACGCTTTAGCATTCGTGCCTTCAGGAATTGTACAGTCATGAGGGAGAGACATTCTTTTCTTCGTTATCAAGTTCTTTCCATGTTGTGATTTCCTCCAAAATACAAAACTTGTCGACCCGACACTAATTAGTCTTGCTTTCTAGTAGAATATGACCCATTACTTTATTTATGTTTAGGGCGAGGTGGAGACTATAGCTGTCTCCATGATCGCCATCAGGTCTCCATCAGGCAGCTCATGTAGCTCCACGTGTCCACGCATGGTCCGGTTTAGTCCCCGGTCGGTGGTCCAACCGGACACTAATACAAGGAATGCACCTACCACGACGTGCGATCCCATAACCGCCCATTCGGATAAGGCAAAGACCGCGCGTCGAGGCGGTGGAGTTGGCCACTTGGCCTACTGTGTGGGGAGTCGGTGACGACACCGCGATTTCAACCAGATTTGCACGGTCACGATCCACCGCTCGTTGAATCCCGAAGTCGGTTATGGTACCTCGACGAACTAACGGTCTCGGCCACTCGC